GGACTGCAGGGAACTATCTCAACTCATGTGCATCCATGATCACTCCCAGGCCCAGAACGAGGAGCAAGCAGCACAGGCCAACGAGCGTCCACAGTCACCCATCCAGCGGCCTCGCCACGAGCCAGGTCATTCCTGGACGGCCAGTCGGCCGGATTAGCGTCCGTAGACACCCGATCCAAGAAGACCTTACATTTCAGCTCGAGAGCTAAATCCCAAAAGATCGAGATCAGCGAGCAGACGTCTTCTTTGCTAGAATAGCCTTTCACTAGTGCGGCTTCCACGACTTCGGAGTCAATTAAAATAATGACATCCGCACCACACAAGCGATCAGCAAAAGTTTTGAGAGCCAGTATTGGCGCGAGCATTTCAATGGGTATAATCTGCGTCGATCGGGGTAGCCAGAGCTTACTCACCGATTGGGGAACAACGGAGGTGAATTGGATCGGTCTAGATAAACGCCTATCAAACAGGACTGCCCCAACTCGATCAGGCAATCTTTCATGTGCAGGCGTCCGAGGATCAGGTGTAAATCCGTCAGTAAAAATCACACAATCGGACTTCTTCTGCACTTGCCTATCGATCGTTCGGGGAGGGCCCTCGTTGACCAACTTAAGCCATTGAGAGAGCGCCAGCCTGAGCGGCTTATCAAGACCGAACTTTGGTCCGATCGGGAACTTCATATACTGGCGTTCCGAGAGCACCCTCAGAAAAGCTCGTCCTACTTTGCCCCAGAGCTGTGATGCTCCGAACATCAGCTTGCCCTTGAGCTTGCCTGCCGTCCCTGGGTCCAGCACGTTGTTGTCCAGGATCGAGCGGATCTCGCCTGAAAGGTCTTCTTTGCGATCTGCCTTGATTTCGAGCTGCATATCCTTCAGGTTGTATGTCACTCCTAAAATGGTTGGAGCCTCAGACAACTGAAGTTTCTTCTGGTCATATCGTGCTCCTAGCCACGTGTGAACACACTCTGCCACAAGGCGAGCGCTCGCGGCTGTTGACTCGAGCTCGAAACCATACTTGTCATCATAAAAACTGAACGCCACTAAACCGAACAGTTTGACCAGAATTTCATTGATGGCAGCCGATCTACGATTGTAGTTGTAAACCGCGGACACCAACCCAAAAGAGTGCCCGATCATAACAAAGAAAGCGGGTCGAGCAGACTTCGGATCTTTCAGGGCTATGACCGAGAACTTTCTCTGTTCAGGCTTTACTGCGATCTGCCTATAGGCCTTCCTCTCGTCTAGAACCCAGCCTGCAAACTGGCCGAGCGGCACTGCAGATCTCAGCAATCTCAGAGCTGCCACATTGGAATCCGTGGATGGCAATTGAAGTTTCTCCGAGATCTTGGTGATTTGATTGATCATGTTTGTGGTGGCACTATCACAACCACGAACTTTATTCTTCTGAACAACTTCAAATCTTTGTGTTGGGATCCAGTCTTCGCAACCTAAAAAACTCAGAGACCTCTTTCTCAGAAAACCAGGGCCCCTTGCATGACCCTTCCGAGCAGTCCTCGAGCGTTGCATCCCAGATCTTCTGCAAGTTTTCGGAGACTTGAACTGCCTTAACTCGCTGAACGATCTTCTTGCGGATCTCCCAGGCCCGTGCTAGAGCATCACTGACAGGCAAGACCACCTGAGGCTTGGCATACGGCGGCCATCGCCCCGAAGCTCTGATTGCCCCCACGATCGGGAACCCATGAAGCAAATCATCTGCGAGCTGCACATCCACCGAGGCGACCTTCAGGAGCATGGCTTCGTAAAGAGCAACATGACAGACTTGCCCGAGCTTGGGTGTCTGAGATTCAGAGCAACCCCGCAGAAGGGTCCGAAGGTCAGGATCCGACTGAGCTTCAATGCGAGCGATCGTCTCAGGCAGCAGCCGATGAGCTTCGGCTTCCCACCATTGCAGAGCTTCTAAGCGACGTGCTATGACCGCAGCAGGTTGCAAAGCCAGAGCATGAACTGCGGTCTGCAACGAGGCCTCCACGTCGAGCTGCACTGTGAATGGATGAACCACCGTCAAGGCCCAGCGAGCTGCCTGGCCTGGCTCCATCTCGATGTCCAAGAGGGGCTTGAGAGCACCACGCTTGAGCTGGTACCCCGAGACCAAGGCTTGGCGAGCGGAGTCTTCTTGACGGTGTCCTTTCCAGCGAGCCAATTGACCCAGGGGCCGCTTGCGATCGACAGGAGCCAAATTGAACGAGGCATCAAACTGTGGGAGCTCCCCCAACCAGAGCTGGTGGACCAGTAGGGCCATAGAGGCGCACAAGGCATAGGGATACTCCTGTGCGAGCTTGGTCCTGAAAACAAAACGTTCTTTCTTGGCGTCCCAGATCTGGCCCCGGAGCTGCACATGCGCATGGTTGCCGGGACACGACACACTGAGCACTTCAAAGATCTGCGCGGTGACTCGGAGCCGGGTAGGCTTCACAGAAGGAGCTCCATAGACGCACTGATCAAAGTCCACGTCGAAGCAGCGAGCGAGCCTGGCCAGTTCCACCAGCAACGGGGTAGCCCAAAGCAAGCTCAGCAAGGGGTTCTCGATCGAGAAGTCACCACCCGTGGAAAAGACAGCCATAGCCAGTTCCACCGAGCGGCAAGCAAACATATTGCCCAGAAAGAGAATCCCTTGGTTTGCCTCCGAGAGGTCCGGCAAACCCATAGGGCACTGCGGGGACCGCAGCGGAGGAGGCCTGCCATCGAGCTTGCGAGCGGACGAAAAGGAATTGCATGGAGTGCCCAAGTGAACAAAGAATATGGCGCCCACATGTGCGAGCTGCATGATGCGGTCCCAGATCTCGAGGTCCAGGACATCAACTGCCTGCGGCACCATCTCAGAGAGCTCAATGTCCACAGGCGGCAGAACTGGAATGCCCAGGGATGCCACATAGGTTGACAAGCGAGCTGTGCCCGAGAACACTTCTAAGAACCAGGGTCCATACGAGCGCACCACCAGTGGATCCCATGGAACTTCATCCCACGAAACCCAGTGCGGGCGCGCAGCCGCCATGCCTGTCCGCTGAGGGTGAGCGGATGCCCCCTCAGCATCATTGTGGCCCAGCGAGCGGCCCCCAAAATCCCCCGGGGGCGGGGTCAAACACCCTGGGGGTGATGTAGGAGCACTTCAGTGATTCCCGTGCCAAGAGTGGCCCTTGCCACACTCGACACAGAGGTGCTTGTTTTTGCATTGATCGCCGAACCGGCAGCCGCTGGAGCAGTTGAAGAACGGACATCGCCTGGGACCACTGTACTTGAACGAGTTGACCTTGGCCCATTCATCTGCTGGAATCCGAGCATCCCGAGCGGGTTTTGCCTTGATCTCAGGCTTCGCCTTGCTTTCTCCGGCAGGGCTCTTCAAGGAACGGAGTTGTTCTTTGAGGCGTTGCCGCCGCTGCTTGTTCTTGCGAGCCTTGGCTGTCGGCTTGGGCGGCGTACCCGAGCGGGAACGCGAGCGCTTCCGATTCCTCACAGGAGTGGTTGGCTCTGAAGATTGATGGGCTTGCTTGAACTTGTCCAACTCGGCTCCCGAGCGAGCGTCGTTCCACAGCTGTTTGTGGTGCTGGAGAACCTCGAGCAAGGCCGCCGAGAACGTGGTGTACTTCTGCTTGTGGTCCGAGTTCAAACGGTAGACCTTTTTCCTGATCAGGGAGTCGACTGCGAGCAGCAGAGCAAGGCCACGATTCTCATGGCGCCACTCCTCCAGGTCTGACAGGTACTGGAGCGGGCCGGCCTTGTACGAGAACTCGCAGATGTTGAGGTATTCCAAAGCGACAAAGAAGGCATGGAGCTTGTCCATGACCTGCGACTCCGAGACCATATGGACAGGTTGATCAACTTGAACCACTTTGAGCAAGTCTTCCGCGCTCCGGCTGATGCCTGACTTCTGAGCGATCGTCTCATTGCGTGTGCGCATCTCCCCAACCTCGTAGAAGTTGACCGCCCCATGAACCAAGAAGTCGCGCTGCAAGCGCTCCACGAACTTCCGATGAGGCTCACGGTGATGAGGCAGAACAACATCGGGACGACGAGCGATGAACTGTTGCCGGAACTCGGCATGATCCTCACCCGGGATTTCCGGGACCTTGTTTGGATCCTCCTCCATCTTCGCTCGGCGAGCTGCAAAGTGTTCCTGCATTGTCGAGCAGGTTCGCCACACCGCCGCCAGAGATGTCAGAGCGAGCTCCTGGCGAGGGGGATCTGCACCCAGCTTTGAGTCGTCAGCGAGCATAGTCTTGACGGTCTGCTTCACGGCTGCGATCGTGTCACCGAGCATGGCGAAAGTCTCTACCGTGAGCAGGCCTGCATCAGCCACGACTTTGCACAGGTCTGTGGGCACCCGCTGGCGCCCGAAGATCTGTCTGAGCGGCAGATCAGGTGTGTGATCGGCATCGGAGTAAACTGTGCGATCGACCATGACGGGCTGGAACTGAAGCTGGCCCGAAAAGTGCTGCGAAAGTCGCAGGCATGACCAGGGCTCATGATTGAACAATCGCAGAAAAAAACCCGAACCGTCATCAAAAACATTGCCGCTCACATGCAAGAAACATGACAGCAAACGTGCAAAGACACATGCAAAGTGCAAATAAAACAGGCCTTTCCGGTAGAGTGAACTTAGTCGGTGAACGCGGACTCTTTCTTTATACTGAGCAGCCATCAGGAGTCCGAAAATGCCTGGACCACATCGGGTCGGGCACGAGCACAAGCCTTGCACAGAACTGACAAATCTGGCAAGACCGTGCCCATGGAACTGCATTCATCAAGTGCAAATTTATTACACGCTACTCTTGCTGGATCGTCACTATTCGAGCAATGGTAGCGATAGTCATAATAAGACCCTGGAGCTGGGTTCTTCAGGAAAAACTCAGGGGTGTCTATATTGAAAATGTCCGGAGCGTCGAGCATGACGTCGTCCGACTCCTGGACAGGGTGCTCCTGAGCTAACATGTCCTGAACAAGCTGCTGTACCATTTTTGCCGGCACGGACGAGCGGTTCCTAGTATATTTAAGAATCAGAGGACCCGGATCTTTCCAGTTAGCCTGGAGGCCGATCTCCTCGGCTGACCGACCGGCGTGCACAGCAGCGTCAAGCAAGGTCACACGTGCTGAGTGAGCTGAGAGCTTATTAACCTGCATGGCATGCGCCTTTGCCGCCTCAGGCGGGCCTTTGGCATACCGATCTAAAGCGTCTCGAGCGAGCACTTTCAGCCACTGGACCGAGCGGTGGTAGTCGGGTGGTTGGGGGGCGAAACTCAGATCTAGAGTTGAGGTCACAAATCCAAAAATCACGGTCGAGCGAGTCCGAAGTCAACAACGCCCATCCTTCCTCCAACCACCCAACATCGGAAAAACCCACACGCGGGACGACGAACTTGGTTCCGCGTCGCTTACGCTCCACTTTGGTCTGCCAAGACACCCCAAAGAGGCCATCGTTGAGCAACTGGAGTTCAGACGGCTTCACGTGGACTCCGTCGTCAAACCGGAGCGAAGCAAACACTAAACACAACCACCACCACACGAAAAGCCGAGCGGCCGCGGGGGCCTCTGAAACAACAAAGATTTCCATACAACGGATGACCTCCATCGGGATGGGGACCGCCTCCTTGAGCAAGGTAGCCCTTTTGTTGACCACTTCTTTCTGAAGGGCAACTAGGAGGGGGTCGTCCAAGTTGGGGCAATCAATTGCTAATCGAGATGCTACCCAACGAATTGACGATCTCAAAGTTGGGATCACTGTGGGCCCACACTCCCTGGAATCTAAATACAAAGCATATTTCAGAACTTTGTCCAAAGAAAGTGGGAACATGGTGAGATGATTAGCTACGATCCACAACTCAAATCTTTCCCAAGCACGAACGTGTGCCGCCATGGTGCGATGAGCTCCTGAGGTCAGAACGAGATGTCGGAGACGAGCTGACTCTCCTGCTGAGAGCTCTTCCCCATCCTGGCGCTTCTCGAACAGCTTTGCCCAGGAGCCAGCGCGGCGCCCGATCTCTTCGAGCTTTGCGCCCCATTTATGGCGCTCTGCCTGCTCATGGTCTAGCAGGGGGGTTGACCCCGCAGGCGCATCCTTCGCCGTCTTCATTCGCTTGGGGTCCCGAGCGGGCTTTGAAACCAAGGCTCGAATGGCCGCTTGTTTCCTAAGAGCAGACTCCTCACTAAGAACACGATGTGCCTGAGAAGGTTCACATAGACCAAACCCGAGTTGAAGAGCAGTCGATTCGAAAAAGCTTTTCTCGACCGACGATGCGATGCTCCAAAACTGTTCGAGCATGGCTGGTTCTCTTAGCAGAGCTTCTGCCACCTTGGGGTCCATCGTCCCGGCCCAGTCCGAAACTTTCTGCACGAACTGTGCCCCCGCTGCTACTTCCATCGATGCGATCAGCGCCAAATTGGCCAGCGGCGACGCTGCGAGCGCATCCGCGAAGTCATGCGAAAACACGGGCAGTGCTAGCACTTTAGCGACCCACCTATCCACACCCTGAGCCATGATCGCTCTCGCGACACTGGGGGTCCGCGAACTGTCGTCCAACACTCGATCGAGCTCCGCTGGGGTTCAAACCTTGCCAGAGCACATCGACGAGCGAGCCAAGACAGTAGTCGAGCGAACTCACAAGCTCAAAGAACAAGGACAGACTACCTTGGACCTTGTTGCCTTCGCATGAGCATGCATCAGATGACTCTCATCACGAGCATGTCTACTTGTTGAACAACATCGAGCGATCAGAGTGCGGCTAGAGCAATCCTACCGGCATCAGACTATACATAGTTAGAACCGGCAGCGATCGCTGCATGCACAGCACTCTGAGCTCCCACAACGACCGGTACTGAGGGTTGAACCTGCAGTGGCATCGGATCGAGCGATCAAGAGTTAGGGGCCCGCTGGAGCTGAGCATGCACCGTCCCTGACCCCTGAACGACCTCTGCCAAAAATCCGGACCTGTGAAACAATTCCAAATAAGAAAATTGGACGATCAGGGATGATATTAAATTAAAAAAAATATCCATTTGAACAAAGTTCGACCCTTCGTTCAAAAACGGTCTATGCATCTCTTTCACTCCCTGGAACGTCGGCCATGCCCGGCCCTGCTTCGTGCGAACTGCACATACTGTCACATAAAAAGGGAGACAAGAGCCTCAGCGATCTTGCTCAGACCAGCTCAGAATCTTCAGCAGCCGGCCCGAACGACTGAGGCACTCCCGGGGTTGCCTCTTCCGGCGTGATGGTCACTGTTGAAGGGCGATCGACCCTTGGCGTGACCGGAGATGCAAAAGAGCTCATGACCATCCGCGACTGCTGTACAAAGGCCTGCGGTGTCACTGCGGCCTCCGACATACACTCGCCCCGCCTATGATCGAGCGACCTACGAGGTGCATAGATCGGCTGATTGGTCTGAGCTGTGCCCAATACCGGCTTTTGTCCTGGATCTGTCAGCGACACAGGCGTCACCCGCATGCTGTCCACCGATGGCGTCGAGCTGGCCCCAGTACCGACCAAGTCGCGGATCGGCTGCCACTTGGTCTGGGCAATCGCGACCGCCGGGGCGCCCATGGTGGGCGGCAAGATCATTGTGGCCTTCTCTGTGGCCGGATCATGATACTGCAGTGCGATCGCTTCCTTGGGCACGATCTTCTTCTCCATCTTGAACAAGGGGCTCTCACAGGTGAGGTGGAGGTTCTCCTGGTGCGAACTGACATCCACTGCTCCGATCCGAGCACCGGTTTCCTCGGGCGACTGAGCCGTCACCCCTGAAGTCCAGTGTGCGTGGATCCCTGCGATCTGGCCCATCTGCATGGTCTGATCAGGACTCTCCACCCTGGCATAGTGCTCACGGCACCAGCGTGCGTTTCGAACCAGTGTTGGCCCAGAGCACCGTGACACCACCAGCCACGATGAAGGAACTGCAATCGTTGAACAGCTCATATCCAATCGATCTTGGGAGGAGCAAAACCTGAATTCCAATCGATCTGCGTCATGGCCGAACGAGTCAGCAGACGAAACCGCGGTCAGGCGCACTTCGAAGTGGCACAAAGGAAAATCCAAAGCGACCACAACCCCTCCCTCGCTGCATGCGTAGAGCTGGCCCCCGACCTCAAAGGAGATGGCACACACTCGCCACCCCTGGAACACCGTGATGGTGCATGACGGTATGAACAACACATCTTCGAGCCCCATAACCAGAGCATCGTTCACGTAGTTCAATTGGGCCGTCATGTCGCGGTCCGAGCGGTACCCGCGCAACTCCAGATGGAGGAGAAGGCCGCCTTCGACCTTCACCTTGACATCAACCCAAGTCGAGCTGTCGTCCCTCATGATGGGCCACCTGAACGGTTGGAATGCAGGGTGACTCATCACATCTCCGGTCAAGGAGTCCCACTTGCCACACGGCACTGAGCCATACGATGTCATCGAACCGACCAAAATGAACTTCTTCCCCTCGAGCGTCCTCATGTAGAACAAGCTCATGTGGTACCCGGTCGATGGGCTACGGAGCAGCTTGGCATCTGACAGCACATTGACACCGGCCTGCGCATTGATCAAGATTTCGTCGAGCAGCCAACCCTGGAACGGGCTTGAGATGCGCTGATCACGTGAATCAACAACGATCACTGACCTCTCATTCTCACCAGATCCAACCTGCCTCAGGTAGGGTGGCAGTGCCGATGAGAGCGCATTATGAAGTCCCCCTCCGAGCTGACCGAACCTCAAGTCGCGAGCCCCTTTTCGAGCTGCTCTCTCAGCTTGTTTTCTGAGCTTCCGGGAGCCATACTGCAGGTTGACCCCCGCCAAGAGGTTCTGTGCTGCCTGAGTGGCAGGGGCTGCTGCTGCCGAGCTGTATGCAGGAGGTGGTGGAGGCACTCCTGGCGGTGGCGCCTTCGGGGCGATCTCTGGCTGAGCCTTGGGTGCTGGTGTTTGTGGATCTGACGAACTGGCCGGCTGATCAGCCCCTTGGGCACTTTCTTGTGTTTCTTGAGGTGGTGGTGCGATCTTGTTCTCAATGGTCACCTCCTGATGTCTTTTTGGCAATTCCAAATCAGGAGGTGGCAGATCTGCATCCTCGTCGTCCCGGTGAACATAGTTCCAACTTCGACCACTCACATTGCTGATCGAGTCCTCGGGCTGAACAGCCCTGGAAGCAGCCATCGCTTGCTGCCTCATGAACGGTGGCAGCTGGTTGGCCGACATTGCAGGAACGAGCTCACCTAAGACAACCTAGGGTGATCCCCAGGCCCAAACTCGAAAATCAGGAGAGAAATTCAGACTCTGGGTGATCACCCTCCACCTCTTTCGCCAAAATGGCCGCAACATTCGTCGGTGATCACCGTCATGATCAATGAAAAATAAAATACGCAAGTCGAATGAACAGAAGCCTCGAGTATCACCTTTATCCCAGACCTACCTTACCAACGATAATGGCACCATTATCTTGATCTATCCAAACTTAAGCGTCAAACATGTCCAATTCCCAAGTGGGCACCATGGTGGGCACCGAACTCAAGTTCCGACATCAACTCTCCCACACCATCCCACACCCACCTTTCCAGAGGTGGTGTCATACACGAACTCGGCGATGCTTTGACGATCCACCTCATCTCCTCCGCGGGTTGGGCGGATGGGTCCAATGCGCCGGGTTTGGAGGGAGCACAGGTGAAGGTGCGTATACTGTGAGGAAGCGAAACAAAAACAACAAAAACACCCTCCTGCCGAGGGGGATCGAGTTCTCATGTATTTAGTTAATAAAGAAAAACACAATTTTCGGACAGTGAAGGGGAGTAAAAAACATATATATATATATATACCAGCACCCTCCAACAGGTCACTACTGGTTTTTTGAAAATGGGTTCCTTAAGAGGCTGCCTGTAGAAGCCTCTTAACAATCTTAGTAACCACATACCCCAAAGGTACCAGTGTTGACCTGTTGGAGGGTGTTTCCACACATGTGTACTTTGTTGAGACCCACTGTCCCCAGATGTGAGGAAAACCATGGATGCTATAACTTTCACACATGGATTTATGATGACTTAAGATGTTTAAGGAGTTTAAGGCTTTCCTCAAATCTTTCCCACCCACCAGCAGAGCACACGCGGCCTTTGCCACCTTTTTGCGCAGAAGCTGGAGGAGGTCGACCCGGCATGATTGAACCAACTGCAGATTCAAGTGGTGATATCTTTGATGGAGGAGTTTTCTTTATCATCAACCCGCCAGTTGGCGCAACCACTTTGTACACGTATAGGCGCTATAGCGCTGGAGCACAGTGTACCCCAGGGAAACTGGATTGGCCTGTGCAGCCAGCCTCTTAATCTGGCCCATGCCGTCCTCGTCCATGTAGCATGAGGCATGGAGAGGCGAGATCTGAGGTGCTTGATCCCATACTATATGGTCGAGCCTTAAATAAATACACATCAGGCTCACACAACTTGAAGACACACCAGGGCACAAAACACAACATCAACCAAGGAACTTGTGGTATTTCGGGCGGAGTTTCCACAATAGTTTGCCACTTTCCATGGCATCATTCGCAAGGCCTGGAATCAAACGAGATCCAGGCAACATGTCTCAGGATTAACAGATTGACCTTCAGTATAAGGCCTAGTTGCTGTTGTGGGCTGCTCGGAATAGATATGCAGATCGCTGCAACTGGTCCAGGTTGCTTTGCGTCAATGTCGTGAACCGTCCAGGATTGTTTGATTTGCTCAATGCACTTCTCATCAGAACAAGATTGAGGAAGACTGCGGCCATCAGCCTCAGTCAGGGAGATAGTCTAAGCTGAATCCAAAAGTGAAGTACAACATCAACTAAGTTACTGCATGTTTCCATCCTCCGGGTATTCATCCGCCAGCTTCAATGTCAATTGATGCAGCCACCAGGCTAGCACAACACATTCCTTATGTGATTTGCTGCGTGTGACATGCCTGCTGTTGAGCATATCCCAAAAGCTAAGCCAAGCATCAGATCCATTCATATGTTTCTGAGCAAAAGTTGGATAAGAACTTGGGCCATTTGGGTAAAGGTTTTTCCTGAGATTCGGTCAGGACTGACAAAACCAGAACTACAAACAAAACACGTTAATAATTTCAATGGTTTGATCGATCACAGCAAAGCTTCACGGAGAAAAATTGCCCTTTGTTTCCTCAGTTCAGGAAAATCAACAATGTGCAAAGGTGTGAGCAACAAGTGTACCGCAACTATACACAAGGATGACACCAGGGCACTGATCCGACATTCCCGACAGGCCTTCGAGAACATCACAAAGGCCCGACGAAGTTTCTCATCTTGACTCCCCGATCCAAAGACATTGGAACGATGAGATATGAGTACCATCCTCACATCGAGCCCCATCAAAACAAATCCACATGCATGCAAGTCACTGTCCAAACTCCTGTTAAAGCAAGCTTCAATGCTGAAGCCCCGCACTCAGGCACAATGCATAAGTCAGTCACGTGAAGCCAGTCGTAGCATACCATCGAAAGGTTGAAACCTGGGATGGTTGTCCATACTTGCATTTGGCAAACTTCTGAAACAAATGTGGTGGTGCTTCTCAAGGTGGATCTGTGCCCAGCAAGGGGGCCAAAGCTGGTGTAGAGCAGCTCACCACTATTTGCCGCGCTTGATGCCCCACAATGGATGCAAGGATCACGACTTACCCAAGACTTTGTTGTCCGAAAAGCTCTTTGGTGCCATTTCTCGTCCCCCTTCACCATAGCGACGATGAACTTCCAGCCATCGCAAATTGGGCCACTTCGATTCTTCCTTGGGAAGTCCTGCCCCCAAGGGTCAACTTGGCTAAAGAATCCCTCTTGTAGTTCTGACAAGCTATGAGCAACCCAGCGCTCCAGTGTAGAGGCTGTAGTTTCTGTGGCGACACTGTTGTCCAGACAGTACGTGAGGAATTTATTCTCAAAAATGGTCCCACTTGTTGTGAGGCTGTAAAATGTCAAGATCGAAAATGACCTCCTCCGATGCGAATCAGCTTCGTCCCCGTGGACGGCAATGGGGATCACCATATCTAAATTCACCTCCTGGGTTCCAAACATCTACGAAGTTTTTCAGGGGATGCGTATTCAACAGCTTACGATATACAAGCCCAGAAGCAGGGTCATTGAGCACTGGATGGCATTGATACCACTCTGTCCCTTTGTGGGAATTCCAAAACTCACTGATAGCCTTACTTGGATTGCATTGAACAATCTTGAAGCACTGAACACTGCACACATGTGTGTTCGAAAGGATGACCAAGGCACACCATCTGGGCCAACAAGCTTTTCCTTGAAGAGGTCGAAGCTGTAGTGATATACAGATGAAATCCTCAGATTCTTGAGCAGATCAGATTGATATGCAACAAACCGAACCCACCAAATTTCAATTTGGCCAGTTGGACCCCCCCCAAAGCCAACAAACAAGTTCCAACAAACAAGGTTCACATCGCTCGGAAGGAATACATGCCATGATGATAGATAAACTGGCTGTGCGCGTGCCATATCTTGCAAAAGAACTGGGATCCTGGGCAATTGAGCAGCAATCATGCCAGCAAGTCAATCGGCTTGCATGAAACAAGAATCGAATCTGCAAGATAAGGTGCTCCAATGGCAGTGGAAGCATTCTTCTCCAGGGTTGCTTGTCAAGCCACCGCCAGAACGTACGAGCATAATTCTTTTCCTCATCGTCTCCAAGAAGGTCCACCAAGTTTCGCAAGTTTCTCCTGTAGTGGGGCAAAGAATGAACAGGACAGACAAACTTGTCAAAGATTCCCAATCTGTTATATGCAACTGTGCATCGGTAGGCATCTACCAGGAATCCGCTTTCGGAGAATCACAAAAAGGCTCACTATTGTCGTCACACTCACCTTGCCCACACTTTTGAACTCATCAATGCAGAACAGCGAACTGAGAAAAGATCATGACAAGCTTGATCTACTCAGTCAAGATACTGTTCTTGTCAATTCAAGGAACTCCTCCACCAGGTCCATTCCGGTGGCCCAGGCGGAAGGAACATCAACATCCAGGTAAACTATTTGGTGATGTTTGGTGTTCGAAGATTTGTTACAACATAAGATTTAAAGATCTCAGGATCTCAGCCATTTCAACCTGGACCAGCTTTATAGGGTTACACCTGTTTTGTCGATATATTTGCAGTTCATGGTTCGGTGTTACTATATCGATGTTCATGATCAGTGATCAAGGGGACATTGGATGTTCAACCTGTTGATTGAATGCATGTTGGACACCCATTGAAAGATATGGCACTACCAGTGTATATACATAGCATATCCACGAAGACATGCATTCCTGTGTTTGTAAGAGTCATATTGCACATCAATGCGTTTTCATGCGTTTTCTAAGATCCGTTTCTTCTGAATCTTTTCACTTCAGAAGGCCTTCTTGGCCTCACCCCCAGTCGATCAAATTAACACCACTTCGTGGTCACTGCTGATCATACAGCACCATCCACGATGCAACGCCAGGCTGCAAAAGAGATCACAAGTGTCCAGCCACTTGATTGGCTCCAAGGGAACGGGCGGAATGCTTTGACTGACACGAACAAAAGCTGGTGACCCCCTACTGTGAAAGGTTCTTGTGGTTAGGAACATGAAAACACAGAAAGGTGTGACACACACACATACATTTGGTGGAGCTTGCACTGGACACCAAAACTGACATGGTCCATGCCACTTTGCTCTGGGACAATACATGATTACTCAACAGGGGAATCAATGTGATAAGTATATTGATGGACTGTTGTGCACTCAGTGTAGGCTTTCCTTTCAACACCCCCAGGCTGGGCAAGACAACGATCAGGACCCTACTCGGATTCAGATTGCTCCGATTCAAACTCCTCCTCAACCTTTTTAGGTTTCTTGGGCTTGGCCGCACTAATCCGTCTTTTTGCATCACGAAGATCAATGTCCACAGTTTTCAGTTCACCTTTGAGACGGTTGATGTAGTCGGTAGCTGCTGCTGCATCGATCTCTGATACCGGAATGCCAACTTTCTCCTCGATATCCTCAAGGTGCTTCTGGATCAATGATTGATGGTCCTCGAGGCATCTCACCTTAGGTCCAGGGAATTCATGGGAAATCAATATATCAGCAACTCCCCAAAGTCAAAACATATGATTGAAGTCTAGTAGCCAATTCACTGCAATTTCGCACCTTGTGCTCAACAAACTCTCGCAAGCACCTTTCACGG